ATAATTTGATTATGAGTTATACAATAGGGAATAGCCTTCTCCTATTTCTAGATCTCTCCTTACTTGACTTAAGGTAACTTGAGATATGTAATTTGGAGTCTTAAACTTTTAAATATTGAGTCATCTTATTGGTGTTTGATAAATTTTCATAATACCATAATATTCATTCATCTACAATTAAATTAATTATTATATAATTTGATGATCTTCTTTCTTCCTTTTATAATAGAATCAATTATTTTATAATTTGATCTCATTAGAAGAAAAGCATGAAAACCGAATCCCAATCAACCAAAAGAATATGACCAAGTCTGAGATTTAAAGTAAAAAATCTACAAGATAAAATTTTGTTTCATTAAATTCAATTTCATCAATTAATAAAAAAAAAAATTAAGGGTGAACGGGTATGTCAATCTGAAGAAAAATCTTACCGCTTTGAAAGAAGTAGATGAAAAGACTAGATGAAGTGCAAGAACGGTTTCCCTAGAGAGAAGGAATATCTGCATGAAAAGAAGGGGCAATTTAGATTTTTTTTTTTTTTAATGAAATGCAAAGAAAGCTGTCCACCTCTCTCTCTCGGTTGTTTTTTTTTTTTTTTTTTTTTTTTTTTGAAACAATAAGAAAATTGCACCTCTCTCTTTCTAGGGTGATTTTATCGCCAGCAAAGTAATTGTTAGGGCTACACAAGATATAGTATGGCCTTTTTTATAAGAGAATATTATTTCATAGGGTATTTTGAATTGTTTTTAGTCAATGGTGTAGAAGAACATGAGTACTCATTATGCACGTGTGAAACAATTAACAGCAGGCCCGAGATTTGACAAACACCGTTAAAGTATGGAGTCTAACATGTTGTACAACCCGTCGCACGAGCAAAATGATCGCTACAATTCCAGCTCTATCGATGATGTGCTAGCAAAATTATAGGATCTCACTAGGAAAGAAGGTCACACTAACGAAGCGATAGGATACCACTTGGAAATGATGACATCTGGCAAAGTAGTAGAATATCACCAAGGAAAGATGAGCATCTAGCGAAATAATGTCATTTTTTTTTTTTGAAAATAGGTAATGGGCGAAATAATCTTATATTGTTCGAGAAGAGTGAATCAATTGAGATGACATTTTTTTTTTAATAAAGGTAATAATTAGTAATTAAGTTAAAAATTATTAAAAATTAAAGATTTGATTTACAGAATAATTGATTTTTCATCTCACATTAAGGTATGCGGCCTATCGGGCCGCATGGTGGAGATGACATGAATTGCAGCTTTTGAGGTGAAATTTATTAATGAGCTAATAATTTTTCAGATAAAGATCCATAGATATTTAAAATTTTAATTTATTAATAATATTTAATTTTTATATTTATATATTAAATTTATTTATAATTTTTCACTAATTTATATATTTTAAGAAAGAAACCAATTTAAGAAAGTCATATCACATATTATTTTTACAAATCCTTTTTGATATATTTTTTTGTTGTCATGTATTAATATTTTTTTATTTGATAAATTTACTTTTTTTACTTTACTTTTTTGTTTATTCATTAATTTCAACTTAACATTTTTTACCATCCTTCATTAAATTTAATTGACCTTCCACTTTTCTACACTGCACATTCTTTTTAGCATGCACTCTTCTTTTTAGTTTTCATTTTTTCCCTCTACTAACTAATAATTACAATTTTTAATGTAAAAGATATACTTGCTACTTTATGATGATTTAAATTTTAAAAAAATTTTCACTATAGTATGTTTTTTAGATTTTTTTTATTATTTAGTGAAGATTTAATTTTAAATTTTATATAAATGAAAATTTTTTAGCAAAATACATGTAAGTGTGTCAAAATTTTCTATAATGCCTATAATACCTTCTTATGATGTAATAGTTAACATATAAAATTTTTATCAATTAATATTAATTAAATAAATTATTATAAAATTAAAAAATAACAATCAAAACTCTCTATATTTTTCTCACTGTATTGTTTATCATGAGAGATGAACATATTTTGTTCAATTATAAATTACTTGATATCTAAATTTTTTTTTGTTTGATAAATACAATTAAAATTTTAATTAATTGAAATATTTCACTTTGGTTAATAATTAAATATCAAAATATTTTTTACTTAAAAAGATTAAAAAATTTTGGTTAATTACATGAACCTTATTGATAAAAAAAAAATCTTAGTAATTAAAACTAAAATTTTGAATTATTTCAAGTATTAAAATAAAAATCATTAATCAAAGTAATAAAAGAAAGGAGAGGGAGAGTTTTGTTTATTGTTATTTTTTAACTTTAATATTTATTTAATTAAAATTAATAAGTACTAAACATTTTAATTATTTGTCAAAAAATGGTATTTTGGACCTTTCAAAAATCCCTAATACACTTATGCAGAATTTAATTAGAGCATTTTTACTTATACAAGATTTAAAAAGTTAACCTTCACTTAATTTGAAGGAAAGATTTACCAGACCCATTTTAAATGAATTTTTCTTAATTTTTAAACATTTAATTTTAAATTAGTATATTATACACCTTAAAATAACAAAAAAAAAAAATTTTTGTACAACTAAAAGCAAAGGTTACACTAGCTTAATTATGGCGTAGAACACCCCAACAACATTTCTCATTATAATTGGTAGCATTTCAGCAAAGTTATATTGATGTAAATGGTGCCCAAAGGCAAGCAATTAGCCATATTGGTCATTTGATTCGCTACCAAATTTACCTTTTCATGGTGTGCTTGAGAATGCATGAAGCAAATTGTTTCATGAGTGCCTTGTAGTCTTCAACCAAAATTAAGAAGGGTGTATCTAGCTAGGGTTCGTTGTTCATTGATAATCTAGATGGCAAGGGCTGAATTCATTTCAGCTACCCAAACTTTCTCCATAAAGATAGTAACTTGAACAATACATCCGGTCATAAAATTGACTGTATCACCTCATGCAAAATGATTCGTGAAGATGAACCGGCATTAACTGAGCAATTACATCTTAGAGGGAAGAGCTAAAGAGATAGGATATGGAGATGTCTTTCATTGAAGATGAAGAATAAATGAAAAGAAGAGGGGAAAAGTCAAATGATAAAGAACAAACAAATGGGGTTGATAAGATTTTTTAATTTTGTATTTTTTTAATTTTTTAAGTGATTAATTGAATAATGATATTTAATTAATTAAACAATTAATTGAGGTCATGTCAACAAAATTGAGGTGAGAATGGATCCACATCAGTGCTATGAAAAAAAAATATGCAAATGGAGTTCTAACAAATGTCGACATAGAATGACACGATTTGTTAAATATTAGATGATTTGCTTGACCCGATTTATTATATAGTTCATTTGTCTGTACTATTTGTTAGTGGGTGAATTTGTCTCCGCGACAAATTTGAGTATTCAGTCTTGAGCTTATATTTATGGGTATTATGCAATTTGAAGATTATAATAACATGAAAAATAATTGGTATATCATCTAATTGGACAAAATTATTTGAGGAAAATGTATACTAAAATATTTAATTCACAATAATAAAAGAAAAACAACTGAATTTTTTTATTGTACTACTTTTCAAATTATGCATTTATTACTTTTAAGCCTGCCCTTTTTTATATAATTTAGGAAGAATAATTTTATGTTTCAATATGTAAGATTTAACATGTAAAATTAGAAATTTAAACTTTAGAGTTTTAGAACTTAGCATTTAGTTTTATAATTTTAAATTTTTGTATTTTAAAATTTTAGAGTTTAAGAATAAGAATTTAAAGGTTGAAGTCTTTAAATAATTTAGAATTTTAGGATTTAAATTTGGATTAGGATTTAATATTTAATATTTTCTTGATCAATTTAAAACCATACTATTTTTAGGTGGGATTTTAATTTGCCTCTCTTTTTCTTTTTTCTTTTTTAATTTTATTATCTTTAATTTTCTTAAAGGTATTTACTTCTATGTTATTTTGTATTTCTAGATACATATTTACTTATTAGTAATTTACATTCCCCAGCATTTTAGAATCCATAATTAAAGAACACATTTCATATTGTACTCTTATGCTACTTTATGAGTTGTGCTATAGTGATGGATATTATGTTTGATTTTTGATAGAATATTTTCATTTCCTCTTGGAATAATGTTTTTTTCCTTATTTATGTCATATCTAATATTCTAGATTTATTTTGGTATATTTTTAATTATTTTCAATAAGTTTTAAATTAGTTCCAATTTAGAGATGCACTCCTTAATATTTAATATTTAAGTAGTAATATTCCAATTTAATATTTTAGTTTGAAGAAGATTTATAAATATTTAAGAAACTTAACTTTTACATACAAACATTTTTTTACTTTAGGATTTGAAAATCTCTCCTAAGAGTGTGTTTGGTTTGAAGGATGTGGAGTGATGGATTTGTCAACCAATCAGACTGCAATATTTGAAAATATTGTAATTTGATTGGTTATAAAACACATCCCTTTTTAGCCAATGACCTAAGTAATTTAGTAATAATCTCCTTCTATTGGAAGTAAAATCTCTAGAGCTCAAATCACATAACATGCAAGTGGGGTGGGTTAAGGGATGCAAAAGGGTTGTTTCCATTGTGCAAGAGGAGGGTTGCTTAAGAAAAAAAAAAAACCTCATTTGTTGTCTTTCATCCATTTCCTTCAAACTAAGGTTAAATACCCTTTTTTGGTCTCTCTATTGTTGAAAAAAATCCTTTTTTGATCCCTGTACTGAAAAAATCTCCTTTTTATTTCCTAAAGATTGAAATCCGATCCCTTTTTGATCTATCCATTAAATTTTTTTGATAGGTGACAGTTAATTAACAAAATTGTGTGATGTAAAAAATCCACTTTATAAAAAAAATGATGGGGACATATTTTTGAGTCCACGTCAACATTTTCACCTTTCCAGCCTTTTTTTTTTTTTAACCTTTGTTGGGTTAGTTGCGAACCCACCCAGGTGCACATTGGGTTCGTTGTGAACCCAGGCTCGAGCTGGGTTTGTTGTGAGCCCAGCACGTGCCTGGGTGGGTTTGTCTTGGGTTTGCGATGAACCTAGCTTGTGCCTATGTTCGCAAAGAACCAAGCATGCACCAAGGTTCATCCTAGGTTTGCCAAGAACCCAACATGGGCTTGGGTTCGTTGCGAACCTAGGACAAACCTAGCAAAGGTTAAAAAAAAAAAAAGCTAGAAGGATGAAGATGCTAACATGGACTCAAAAATATGTCCACATCATGTTTTTTTTCCAAAGTGGATTTCCACATCACACAATTCCATTAATTAACTACCACCTGTCAAAAAATTTAACAAAAGGATCAAAAAGGGGTCAGACTTCAATATTTAAGGACTAAAAATGGGATTTTTTTCAGTATAGGGATCAAAAAGGGTTTTTTTCAACAATAGAGGGATCAAAAAGGGTATTTAACCTCAAACTAAATATACCATTTAAAGGCAGTAATTTTCCCTTTCCTCCCATGGGGGCCCCATTTAATGTACCCTTAAAAATACAACAATTTTTTTTATAAATTATTGTAAATTAGGTTCAACCCACACTTTAACAAATTTCAATATATTACCTTAATTCATCATTCATTTTAATGACAAAACCCAATATTCATTATGCAATTTAAGTTTAACTCAATTTAAGTCTAATTTAAGTCCAATTTTTTTATAAAAAGGGTTTTTTTCAACAGTAGAGGGATCAAAAAGGGTATTTAACCTCAAACTAAATATACTATTTAAAGGCAGTAATTTTCCCTTTCCTCCCATGGGAGCCCCATTTAATGTACCCTTAAAAATACAACAATTTTTTTT